TAAAAGAAGTAAACCTACAGACTGAGCCTTAATGAACAGATTTTGATCACTTGTTGCTGTTCACTTTGTTAATAAAGGGCAGCTGACAGGTTAGAGGAGGATTCACAGGATTTTACTGCAATAATGAACACAGGTCAGTCTGTGTTGTTGCAGCAGTGTGGGTTAAACTAGCAATTTGTGAATAATGGATCACATCAGGAAGTTGTACACAGAGGAAGAAGGAACAGGTTGGCCATAATGTGATGTTGCAGGCTTTACAATAAGCCGATTGACAGACTTTGTTAAATGTAACTGACTACAACTCACCATTATTTTCATTATCCATTAATCGATTAGTTGTTTGGTCCAGAAAGTGTTGATCACTGTTTTATAAAGCCTAATGTGGCACCGTCAAATGTTCTGCCCACAACCCAAATATATTCAGTTCACTGTTATGGAGGAAAATAGCTTTTAGCCATAATTTAAGAATNNGATTTTCACTTCTGCTTTTGCATCTAAAAATGTCTTGAGAAAGCTAAAGCACCACTAGTATAACTATATTTGAAAAGAATCCATCTTTACATACTAATCATGTATATGTGCACCTGTTGAGCCAATACATCAATCATTAATCATTAAATCCTACATATGTTCCACAAATATAGTGATAACTTCCATTTAGCCAAAAAATACACTTCAAGTATTCACCACGTACATTATATGAGAGTGAACAGACTTATTGGTAGTTTGGTTCTGGAATAACACAATAACACATTACGGTTACGGTTCAACAGCTCAAACTCCATCCTCCAAAAGCCTGGCACAGTTCAATCAGCAGCTCTCTGAAACTGTTTCAATCTAAACATCATGATGTTAATGAAATAAGGGCTGTTGTGTTAGGTTGTGTTAGTTTGAGTATACTCAGCAATCACATGTAAACTAAATTCTGGCTGTAAATCGTCCCAACATGTTGATAGATTGTTCACGTCTATAAAAAAAAAACCTATGCAAAGCCTGTTGTGATCTGAGAAGTCCACTTTGAATTATTTTTTGTTTCTCTGAGCTTTTTTCTTCATACTTGTTTGTTTTTTAAGCTCGAGAGACATTTGCTCAAATTTGGTTCTTGATAAAAGTGTCCTGTAGGAAGACGTGTGATCAACACTTGGAGAAGAGAATAGAGGAGGAGAAGGGTTTGTGCTAACTGAAGCTAAAGTAAGACTCATTCTCACTTAGTGAAGCACCGGTTTGTGTGTAACATTGTGACACTAAATCCACTGAACACACACTTTGTTTTTGTAATCGCTGTAATGGATGAAAAGAGGAGGGAAAGTCAGTGCACGGAGGAGACGGGTTGATTTCTGTGTACATAAACAAGGAGAGAGTGTATTTATACCGATTATAAAGGGCAAACCTTGTATACATGTAGATTGTGATTGTCTTGCCTTGTACTTTCTGATGTAAAACTGTTTTTAAACCT